AAAAATGATACATTTTTTTTCAATAATCAAAAACGATAGAATTTTTTTTTCAATAATCAAAAATGATACATTTATTTTTTCAATAATCAAAAACGATACAACAGTTTGTACAACTAACTTCTATAATCAAAAAGCATCACCTCCTTAATCAAAAACGATATATTTGCAATAAATATATTATGCATACAATATTAAAATAACTTTTAATATATATACAGTATATATAATATTATTCTTAAATCAATTAAAGTAGGAAACTGAATAATAATAATTATTATCACCTGGCTACTAATTGGTATTTAGGATTTTTTCCGCCAGTTATAAACTGGCGGACCAATTAGTATATCTAGGATGATAAAAAAGTTATTTACTGATCTAGTTTAGTATATAAATGGGCCATCATCCTTCGGATGATAACCCATTTATATACTACTAGATTAGTAAATAACTAATACATATTTTTTTTTTATTTACCCTCATAGGGATCGATATTTAATTATGGTAAAAAGTTACGTAATCATAAACATTAAACCCACTCGACCAGCAAATGTTCCCGATGAGCTATAATTAATAATATAACTATATATTGATTTACAAATTTTATATAATAAATATATGTAATGTTAAAGTAACTTCTGTTATTGTATATGTTCTATGTAAGCACTGGACATTTTTCATGTATGTTATTGATCACTTTATAATAGTGATACACAAATTTTGGTCACTTTATAATTAGTGATATACAAAATTTTGATCACATTATTATAAAATAATAAATAAGATACGCGAAAAAGGTCTCAGTTGCTTTACGTCATACATATCCAATAACTTTATTATCAGTCATGTTTATGATAACTGATTTACACTAGGATGCTACTCTATCATGTGGCCTTCGGCCATATGATATACATAGCAATCCTAGTGGTAAATCAGTTATCATCTACAACATGACCGATAACAATTACTTATTTATAACATGCTATTAAAATATTTATAATCACTTTACAGAAACTTATAATTTTTAAAAATATCAGTTGATTTAAATAATGTTTTATATTTCTCAATACATATTTTCGCATGCACAAAAACTTTCGGATTATGAATGCATTTCAAACATCTAAAACGAAAATTTTCATCGCAAAAAAAAATGAAAAATTAAAAAAATTCCATCTAATTTAATCTTAAGTCGAGAAAATAACAAGCCAATGGCAACAATGTGCCACATAAAATAATAAAATAGCAACTGATATTTGTTTGTCAGTTCTGAAAACAGAAGGAGCAGATGGTAAAGTTGGTGCAGATGCAGATGATGGGGAAGTAAAGGCATTACCATTTGTTGGTGTTGTTGGCGACGTTTTCGGCGGGACTGCTACCAAGTACTTTTAGTGCTGTGTCCGCCTCAAGCAATTGATCGTAGCGTACATCATATACTTTGGACGGTGTTCTCACATCAATCATAATTTCATTATAATAATGAATCGTTAAAATAAAGATGTCAAAAGCTTTTTTAAAACAAAAATTAATTATCACCTTTTTCTATTTATTCATTTTTCTAAAAAAAAAAAAGAAAAATTTGTATTGATAGAATTCCAAAATAAAGTAATATTCCAATTAAATCATGATAATTATAGAATCTTGAACCACCTAAAAAAACCTTAACAGATAAATTAAGTTTTTTTCTCTTTTTTTTAAAAAAATAGAACTTAATTGTAAATCTAAAAATTCCAAAATTATACCGGATTCTTAGTAGAATGAAATATTTTTTCGAATCCATAATTCAATTTACAGTAATTAGACGGTATATATTTAAAGTTTCATAAACATCTAGTAAAAACTATAATATTAAGAAATAATAATAATAAGGCGAAGAAAATGCTTCTCACGGCCAATTCCCATTTTCGAAAAAAAGATTTTCTGTCTTGTCGCGTGATTTGCCGAATGCTGTAATATTACCATTTTCTGCAGTTAACGTGACGCGAGGGAATTTTCGCGTGATCTTTATGACTAACATCGATATTTTCATATTTTTGCATTTAAATCTATTACTACTATAGCACGGCAGTTTGTCGTTTTCTCGTTCTTTTTTTTTTAATATATGCATATGAATAAGCGATATAATATATACAAGTTATTTATAATACTATAGAATATAATATAATTACAAATACCAAATATACAAATATCCATTTAAAAATTCGAAGGCGGAAAGAAAAACTTATTACCGTGACCAGCGTTAAAAAGGGACTAAATATTATATTTTCTCTAACCTATTACTCTTTGGTATATTTCAATTATTTTGTACAAATCTTATTTAACATGATACTTGCATCTTTTACTCCATTATTTAAAGCTTTTTTGTACCAAATAACTGCTTTCTCAACATCCACTTTAGTTCCTATGCCATAATAATAACAATGACCTAAACAATGTTGCCCTTTAGCAAACTCATTATTAGCAGATTTAAAATACCATTCAAATGCTTTATTATAATTTCTTGCTATTCCTTGACCATATTTATAACAACGTGCTAAATTATATTGACCAAAATTATAACCATTATTTGCTGATTTAGAATACCATTCAAATGCTTTAATATAATTTCTATCCGTTCCAATTCCATATCTATAACAAAATCCTAAACTACATTGACCATTAGCACATCCATTAATAGCTGATTTATAATACATTTCAAATGCCTTATTGTAATCTCTCTCTGTTCCAAGTCCATCTCTATAACAAAATCCCAAATTATTTTGACTCTCAGCGCATCCATTATCAGCTGATATGGAATACCATTCAAATGCTTTTTTATAATCTTCATCCGTTCCAAGTCCATTTTTATAACAATATCCTAAATTATTTTGACCTTCAGCAAATCCGTTATTAGCTGATTTAGAATACCATTCAAATGCTTTTTTATAATCTTTATTCGTCCCAAGTCCATTTTTATAACAATATCCTAAAGTATTTTGTCCCCTAGCAAATCCGTTATTAGCTGATTTAAAATACCATTCAAATGCTTTATCGTAATCTTGTGATATTCCTCTCCCATAATAATAACATTCCCCTAAATAAAATTGACCTTCAGCGTATTCATTATCGGCTGATTTAGAAAACCATTCAAATGCTTTATTACAATCTTGTGATATTCCTTTCCCATGATAATAACATTTTCCTAAGTTATTTTGACCTTCAGCACATCCATTATTGGCTGATTTTAAATACCATTCATATGCTACCATTTCGTCTTTGTCTATCCCGAATCCATAATAATAACATTCTCCTAAATTATTCTGACCTTCAGCACTTTCATTATTGGCTGATTTAGAATACCATTCGAATGCTTTATTATGATCTTGTGTCACTCCCTTACCATGTTGATAACAATATCCCAAATTATATTGAGCAATTGGATCTCCTTTTCTAGCAGATTTTAAATATTTAACTTCAACATCACTTAAATTTCTTAGATCAGAGATAATATCTTTATAATAAAATAATGATAATAAATATTTTCCAATAATAATATTATAACTTTGTAATAACCCGAATTCATTATTTTCATTATCGTTTTCTTCATTTTGAATTAAAGATTTTTCATTATTAATAGCCAATAAAAAAAATTCCAATGACTTTTCTTTATCAACATCACAATCGATACCATATTGATAAAAAAATCCAATTATACTGGAAAACCAGAATTCACTTTTTTTATGATTTTGAATTAATTCTAAAATTTGTTTGGTATTTTTATCATTATTTTTTATCCATTCGATTATAACATTTTCAAATTTATTAAAATCATTCATATTAATGATTTTGTGATATAAAAATTTTAAAAATTCTTTCAAAAAATTTTCATCATTATCTGTGATTGGATTATGAATTATTTTATCTTTTAAAAAAATTGTAGAATGTGACATTTTAAAATAAGACTTTGCTCTATTATGATAATGAGTACTGTATATATATATAAAAAATAAATAATAATCATATAAGGTTAACAATACGCCCAATGCATGTCGTGATTCCTATTGTTTGAAAATTAGTAGATCAAGCAAATCAATAAAAATAACAAAAAAAAAAACTAGTATTGAAAAAGCAATTGATAACCAAAAATAACAATTTTATTAACTCATTCAATATTCATACAAATCAGTGTAATTTATTTTTCTGCGTAGTTTATTTATATTGAAAAGTAATATGTCAATAAATTTTGTGGCGTAAAATTTAGGAATTTTCTGAAGAACGACGCTTTTTGTTTTTAATCTTAGAGATTTACCCAAGATCATATGATCTTTCCTTTTTTCTTGATTGGTGACACTAATATAAGGAATATATTCACACGTTCGTAATGTACGGATGAGTAAACAATAAAGAGAATTTTATATTTCATATTTGCACTTAAATTTAATCCTAATAAAGTCTCACCAGTTAAATAATCAAGTAGTAATAAACCACTCATTATGGTATAACTTTTTTTGTGATCTGAATAATACAAGAAGTTTCAAACCCTCAGGAAAATGTAAGTTCAAGGGAAAAAGAAACATCTCGTGATATAGCACACCCGTTTGGTTATGATTAGATGTTTTGTACGAATTTTCATTCTAATAAACGTATGCCACAAAGTCTGAAAAAAAAATATAATATTATAAAAATGAAAATAATAAAATTTTGATGTCTATGACTTTGAGATTGATTTCAAGATAGATATCTTCTTCTTCTATCTTTACTTCTTAATCAATCATGAGGATATGGTCTTTTCTTCTTTGGAAATCACGATCTGTACCAGTATCTATACTGAAGATAATCATTAATAGCATTTTATCATTTATATTCTCATTTGAACAAATCTTAAATCCAATAAGTAATAATGTAAATAAATTGTTTACATAAAACAAATTTGAAATTGATTGTTATCCATTTGCAGTCAAAATTCATCACAAAAATACATCTAATCAAACTGTTCTTACTATTCAGGCTTGTAATGGAAAAATCTTCTTTATTATCCAGGAGAAGTTTTTGTATTCTTTAATGCATTTCATTTTGTATAATACTGTCGGATGTTACCTCGGTATATTCTAATAAAATATGTGAAATTATTTAAAAAAATTTATTTATCAATTGTAATTACTTTCGTAAAATTAATTCAATTAAAGTACAACAAATTAAGTTGTTTTAATGATTCTTGAGATAAACTTTGACGATTAGAATCTAAAAGTGAATTATATAAAGAAAACTACGTTCTACCGCACAACTTGAGATCGGTAACCAAATAATAGTCTGAAAGAATTGACAGGCGAATTAACAAAATCTTCCAAAAATCATCCGTTAATTTCATCCAAATTTTCATTAAATTCCAACCACAAAATATTGCCGCGAAATTGACACTATGAACAGTTGCTGAAGGCGGAAAAAATTCTTGCTTCCATGCGCCTTCAAATCCGAGGAGAATGGAAATTGTTAAAAACCTGACATACGTAAAAAGTGAACGTGCATGATGATCGGGAATGTGAGCTGAAATTTTTTATATGTTACTTGAAAAACTTGACGAAATATTGGATCAGGGAAAAAATGCTGATGAATTATATTTTCGATTTTGTTTTAAAAAAGGAGGTGATTAATTTTTTCTGATGGAACGTTTGCACTTGCAAACGCTTGAATTAAAATTTACCAATTCTCTTTTGGAATCAGCTGCAAGTTGTTTCTAAGGTTTGTTGATTTTTTTTGCGCCAAGTGCTTTTTTTTCTAAACAATGAGAATTTACTGTTGACTTATGTCTCACAAACAAAAGACCATTCTCAACACGAAAACCATCTGGATGTTCTTTAACTCTTTTGTATAAGCTGAGGATTCAGCGGCTTTCTTTTTTTGGTCGCTTATTAGGAGATTGTGGAGATCCTTCCAATTGCTGAGCATTATTCTCTTTGTCCGAATCATCCACTTCAATGTAACATATACGTTTCCTTGTTTGATGCGAACTGAAGGTTCTCAACATATTCGCGATTAAAAAATTTTGCAACCTATAACTGATCGTGATTATAGTAAAAAATAAGAACCCCAAACGTTCACTTACAAACTGAACTACGCCACTTCATATTTGTAGAGTTGTTTTTTCCACGCCTCCAAAAGCATTAAGAAATGAGCATTGATTTTAGGACTTTAGAAAACATTTAGGGGATGCAAGTGGAGTGGTTTAGGTCCAAGTGACCCGCAGCCCCAGACTTCCACCCGCAGCCCTCATATGGCTACAGATACTTAACCCTTAAACAAGAGGCTCTATCCCTCTATATGCACATATGTACTGTAAAATAGTTTATTTAAATCCAATCTTTCCTAATATCCCACAAAATATGCGTTATATTCTTCCAAGTCATTACTTAACGCGTCGTATATGAACGACGTACGGACCTCGTTACTTAATTTCGCTCGTAAAAGGAGGGGATTTGAAACTTGGTGAGGTTATCAAATATTAGAAAAGATTACAGGCCGCGACTTTCTCAAGACAACCAAAGAAGGGTTTCGTAATTATGGAATGCCAGGTGCCCTCAGTGAACGGAGAAAAACCGCAAAAATGAGTCCCAAGAAATTTATCGGAATTTTTAAAATTTTATAAAGTCACGTGAAATTACGTAAATGACTTTATTGGTCGATATGTAAGCAGCTGATCTGAAATTCATAATATCCATACCAAGTTTTTTTTACAAACCTAATTATAACTATTCAAGACTTCAAGACTTTGAGGTACAATTTGTTTGTAAATTTCATCACTAAAAGCTGAAATATCATATTGGTTAAAATTGCATTGTAAATTTTACATTTTATGTACTATACCTTTTAAAATTTTATTTTACTTAAATAAGTTATTGTCTGATTCATCTATTATAAATGATTTTACTTGGAATTTCTTCCTAAAGATAGCTTTAAAATTGATTTTTATAGCAAAGCTATACTTTGCTAAAATCTGAAATTCAAAATTATTTTCTATAGTAAATAAATTAAGTATTAATCTGTGAAAAATTAGTACAATTATTATATATAAATTTGAGGTAAATTTAGATGTATTTTTATATATTTTAAAATTTTAAAATCTGTAATAATTATATAAATAAGCAATAAATATTAAAATATATTATAAATAAATTCATAATTATGAATATATATACCAATTAAATATTTCTTTAGCATTTTTTATAGTATTTTTATTTTTAAACTGATTCTAGCAGATTTGGATTTTTTAAAACATTATAAGATTTCTTGCTATTTATTAGTTCTAAAAAGATGAAATTGCTACAGAATCTCAAACATTTCTGATTTCTCATCTAATTTGATAATCAAATTTTTAATTTATAATAACTTGGCTAATATTAGTGCTAAAAATGCAATTTTACTATTATTAGATTTCTTTTATTCAATAATATAAAATTTAATCAGTAAATTATTTTAAAACTAAGGTATGTAGTATAAGATATTTTTAAAAAATATCTTTAAAATAAACAACTTCTAAAAATTTTATATAACCAATTCCAATAAGCTATATTTTATACTTTTGCAATTATTAAATATTTTATAGATTAGTTTTTAGTTTATTTAATAATTTTAAAAAATTAATTATTTTATAATAATTAAAAATGTAAACCAATAAAATTATACTTCAAATTATTAAATTTTAAAGCTTATTTAAAAGAACTTTAAATATTTAATATATAAATTATAATAGACTTTTGGCTAAAATTACCCATTTTGCTAGTAAAATTTAAAAAAATTATTCTTTGCAAATTTTTTGGTATTTAGTAATTCAATTTTAATGAACTTTTTTTTAAAGAAAATTGTAGAGTTTAATAAGAGTTATAAAATAAAAAAAAGTTTATTGAAATTATATAATTCTAATTTTTATTTTTTTTAAAAATGTTAAAAGGTAGTAACTTATGACTTATTTTAAAAATGGTTGGGATTTTAATAATATATATTATATTAAATTATAAATAAAATATTTTTTTCTTTTATAAATTATTTAATGTTAATTATTATAAAATTATATTATTTTAATATTATTAATTTATAATAAAATACAAATAAATTATGACTAATTAATTCTTTTAAATATATTTGTTAGTTGAATAGATTTAATTTATATAATTATATTTAATTCGTGATCTGTCTCCAAACCAGTGAAATCTACTAATACATTTTGGGGAATTATTTTGCAAATTAATTTAGTGGGAAATTCAGATAAGAGCAATAGATATAGCACGCAGAAAAACTGAAATGAACTTACAAATTATAAGAGAAAAGTAGTTTGAAAAAACTGACATTCCAAAAGTATCAACTATTCAAAATTACTAGATACACTGCTCAATATAAGCAAAATATAGTATGATAAGTTAGACAATTAAGGTTGCTTGCCAAAACCTAAGGTTTAAACAAGATGGCATTTCACCGAAAAGCAAAATTCTGCTGAAATTATATTAAAATTATATTAAAAAACTGGCGAAACTTTGGAGAAAAGTGAAACTGCCAAAACTTATTATAAATGCCAAAACTGCCAAAACTCTGCCGAAACTATAATAAATTTATAGTAAAATTTTAATGAAACTAATCGTAGGATTTTGAAAAGGTTTAGATAAGCAACTTTATAAACAACCTGTGTTTAATAGAAATAAATAATTTTAATACTTTTTTTTGTTTTTTCTTGTTTATAACCTTTAAATAAATTATTTACCAGCATATAAATAATATTTTAATAAAAAAATATCAATTTTATGATTGTCCCACCTTTTGTATTAAATAATTATGGCATTTTTAAAGGCCAGAATCCAGCGTTGCTAAAGAAAATTTTTTTTAACTAATCATTCAATGTAAAAATTTTTGATGGATCTTAATTCCCTCAGTTTTAAGCAATTGGTTACACTATTTTTCAGTTGAGTTGTAATACAAATTCGGCTGGTTACTTTTTAGGTAATATCGCTAATTTGTATAATAATGTAACTTTAAATGGCAAGTATATGTTGATCAAACTTGTGATATTAATATTTGATGATGCAAATTTATCATTTAATATACTCAGAACATTATTATATAACACTTAAAAAAAAAAAATTCTGGGCAAATCAGCTCAAAAGCCATTTAAGAGATAATTAATTTGTAAAACCAGTTTCCCGAAATTTATTAGTAGTTTTCACTGGTTCAGAGACAGATTACGAATTAAGTGTAATTTGTTTTTTAATAAATTTACTGCTTTTAGTAAATAAATTATTATTATTTTTTTTTTTTAAATTTATAATGTTTATTATTAATTAAATTTTACATAAAAATAAATATTTAAAAGAAATTATTATATATTTAGATTAGATATTAAATATATTAAATTTTACAGGTTATTAACTAAATAATTTATAAGTTTACTTATATGAAATATAATTGATATTTTAATATTCAATAATTTACTAATTTTAAAAATATAATAAATATTAAATTTAAAGTAATAAAATAGTAAATTATTATAAATTTATGAATATAATAAATAAAAAGCAATAAATATAATAATTATATTTATTTATTTAATATATATCTGATATAGTATTTTTTCTTTTCTTTATTTAAAAAATTTTATACTTTAAATTACCATTTTTTTTAATATATTATATAATAGCTTATTAATATATATATTTTGTTACCAAAATTTATTGTTTTTTTTATAACTTTTTGTTATTTATTTATCAATACAAATATTTAATTCAAAGTTTACTGTTTATTTAATTGCTCCAATTGCTCTTAAATTTTTCTTGCAAAATTCTGACATTATAACTCTAAAAACTTTTACTTTACTAAACACTTTCTTACTTGTAATAACTGTAAAATTCATAAAAAAAAAGGCAAGCTGAAATTATTTTGATATATTATTTTGATTTTGAAGAATAAGTCAAAAATAAATTAGCCTGATTTATAATCAGATATATTGATATTAATGATATTAAATAAAGTTAAGTGGGAAAATAGGCACAAGTAAAGTGAAAATGGTTTGCAAGACTTGATGTTTTATTTAGAATTTAATAATATTGATGAAATGAAGAAACTCCAGCAAGGACATAACTTGCATGTAATTTAGATCAAATGAAAAATTACGGATCAGAAAACTATTGGATATCCCAGAATAATTGAACCCATCAATGTAATAACGGTGATATCAAATTTAAATGATTACATTACGCATATTATTTATTGAAATAAGCGAAATGATTTAAATATTTAATTTTAAATAATTCCTTCATAATCAAATTCTTTTAAGAATTTGTTTATTAAGAAAAAGTACTGGCACATTTTATTATTACTATTATTAAGAACAAATTGTCTACTGTCAAATTATGATCAGAGAGTGGCTAGATAACAGGATTATTAAAGAGATTCACGTTTTGAATAAAATAGATCCTTTATCAAAAAAATGTAACCGTAGATTAGATTTAGTTAAAAAAATAATTATAAAAATTATATATTTTACCTGATAATAACGATCAAGTTTATTCAAAGCAATTTCAAACTCATGTTTATTTTCCCAAGGAGAATAATATTGATTAATACTATTGTTAATTTCCAAGTTATGATGATCATGATGATTATGATGATGAGAAAGTTGTGACGGTAAAGAGGAATTATATGAATTATAATTAGAAGAATATTGTTTTCTAACTCTCGTAATTGTAAGACTAGGTTCTTCATATTCTGATGTACCCCACGCACGAGAATGAAATTGATTTTCGCTTTTATATGATGATGATGACGATGATGATGATGATCTTCCACTGTAGCATTTTGGATCTTCTTGATAAATGTAATCATAATTATCATAATTATTATTATAATGATTGTGGTCATCATAATGTTTAGGAGGAAATCTATCGTGGTCCTCATAATGATATTTCTCATCATTAAAATATGATATTCCAACCTGTAGAAAAATATTATTTTGTAAAAACATTATTGAGAATTAGATTATATTTGTTAAAATATCTTACGCGATCATCACGTATACTTGGAGGTGATGGGTTTATTACATCGATATCATTATTATTCGCGTAGATTTGCCGTTCCTGTCTTTGTCTTTTTGAAAAAAGAAATTCATCGTATAAACGACGCCATCCCCAAATTTTATTTCTTGGCCTCCAGTGCCACGCTACGTTTGGATCTGACAAAAAATCAATTAATTTATTATGGATTATTAAAAAGAACGTGTTAAATGAATAATACTTGCTTCTACATTCTACCAAATAGAAGTCAACACCATTTTCAATTTTTTCATCACGAATGAGTATAGGACGTTTACCATCCCTATTAAAAATAAAGTGCCAAATTTTATTAGTTAATAGAATATTCGAAAACCAACAAACCAATAAGGTAATAAAATAAAATTATTTCACGCGTTTATTAGAATAGAATAACAAATAATAAATAAAATTTTCTTATTGATATTTTTTACCGGTTAAATCTATCCTTGCGACTTCTATATGGCCCAGTCATATTTTTTTTATTCTTTAACGAAAGACCTTATCTATTAAAATTCAAATAACTCAAATAAGAATGAAAAAATCGATTAATCCAAATGAACTTTTTTTAAATAAAGAAATTATATGGTAATTGAGTGGAATATTGACAAATTCGGAGAACAATGCACGATCATTAAGTACCTTTTATAGTAATTTAATTGTAGCGTAGATTGTAGTTTATGTCAACGTATTAAGGGCTTTTTTTTTACTTGCTTAATTTAATCGTATAGTGGTTGTGTTATTACTGGATATGTACAAACTGACATTAAAATTGATAGATCGATCATTCGAGTCGAAAAAATTAAAATAATATATACAAAATTTCTGCTGCGCCAAGATATATTTTTTTTACGATTATCTGTTATTACATAAGCTGGTTTTTATTATTTTCTTTTAAGAAAATAAAACGATAATAAAAGCATAGCAAACCCATCAAATGCATTACGAACATTATGAACATTATAAAATCCATCTTCACATAATCTATCTTTGTAAATAAGTATTTCCAAAAAAAATTTTACTTCTAAATAGCGATTCTTTAGAAAATTTTCAAAAAGTGTATCTATATCCGCATTAAATAGATGGGCATTCTTCTCTCCTTTCATCGTAAAATCTAACATTACGGGTTGATCGTAGTCTAGCATCCTCTTTGTAAAGATCTGAATCCACTCGATTTTGAAGAAATGATGAAATGTATTTATAAACAAAAGAACTTCCATAACTAATCAATCTAATAATTGTTATAACCAAGGTAATACAGAATGTTATAAATAATAACGTCACGAACACGGGTGAGATACACAATAGACCTATGCCGATAGATAATCCATTAATAGCAGCATAAGCAAATGCCCCTATATAATTATTTACGTTTAAAATGATTTTAGTTGGATATTAAGTTACAAAAAACTGATAAAAATAATTATTCTAAACTTACATAAGACCATTGTAACTACCAAAGAACCAATCGACCATATAAGAAAAATAGTAAATGGCATGGCAAATAATAATGAAAATACTGCAGAAAAATCGACAAGAAATTTATATCCCGAGGCAATTTCATAAGCTCGATTCAATATATGTTGTACCCATGTTGGCATGCGAACATATACTAAATATCCAACTCCCTTAAGTAGCTGTGTAATTGGATTTCTGATTTTATTTGGTAATGCTTGTGATGCTTGTGTAGCTCGTTGCACGTTACTACTCCCTTCTCCTCTTTGTTTTAATTGTTCCATTTATTGAAAGAAAAAGTTGAAATGAAAAATGAAAAATTGCGAAATGAATGACCTTTTATTAATAAATTATACTATTGATTTCAATTGATCATCTTTCATATCATTATAAGGAATTAAATTATCATAACTAATTTCATGTTTGCTATTTTTAAATATTTAAAATTAGAATATGTGTTTGTTGCAAAAATTTTCATCATTAGTAAAGATTTATTTCTGAATATTCATCACTAATCATCAGAAAGCTTCTTATCATTTAATTGAATCATCGGTCCAGAAGAAAGTTTCTTAGGAAATTTAACCAAAATATTATGTCTCCTCCCTTTCCGATAAATTTCTTATTTTCTTTTGAACTTTATTCTTTCATAAGAAAAAGTAATTGCGTAATCCATATTCATACGCTATTATTTTAAAAATTTGATTCAAATCTGAGCGTTACGCAATCAACATACGAAATATGTTACGTAATCTACATTACGTTTTCAGTGAGTCATATGACAAAAACTATAAATTTGAATTCATTTCGATCTGAAATTTTTCTTTATTTATTTAATTTAGTTCTCCTTTTTTCAAAATATGGCATCATATTTCGGTAATCGATCTTTTCTCGATTATTTCATCTTTTTATTACATTTTCTTTGAGAATATCTCACTTTTCTAATATTTTATACAGACGAAAAAGGATTACCAGATCCATCGGCAACCAAGAAAAAATCTTCAAACCATAATCCAGATGTATCTCATTTTATTGGAGCTTCTTCATCGTCATCAGGAATTGGCACCAACGAAGCTATTACGGAACAATTTTTTCATTTAGCAAAGTAATTTTTTTCTTTTAAAAAAGAAAAAAAAAAAATATTGTTTTATTAGAATTAAAATATATGAATATCAATGTTTTTTTTTTCATTTTTAATACTATAGTTCATTCAGTATATTAAGAGATCAAATACCGAATAATAACAGTAACCATCAACAATTTTTGGATAATTTAGTTACTCAATTATTAGAAGAAGCTAACGCAAGGTATTTATAATTTTATCAAGTGTTTATACTTCCTTTAGTTGTAAATTAACATTAATAAATTATTAATATATAAAGTGCAAAAGGGCCACCACCAGCTAGTAAGAATTTTATAAAAAATTTACCCAAGGTATCTAAATCGGAAATCAAATCAGGTAAGATATCTAGAAAAAAATTCTTTATCTACAGGTCATTCTTGAATTTTTCTAAACTTCTCATATGCAGATGATACATGTATTATATGTGCGGAAAATTTCTCTGCAAATGAAAAAGTTAATATAACAAAAATGCCTTGTAATCATATGTTTGATAAAGATTGTATTTTACCATGGTTAGAACTAGTAAGTATATCATTTATTATAGTGTAATAAGTAGTATAATTTTACTTTAAAACGGTATTATTTAAAAATTTTTTAATTCTTTTAGCATAATACATGTCCAAATTGTAGATATGAAGTGGAATCAGATGATCCAGAATGGAAAAAGAAACAAAAAGAAAAACAAATAATTGAAGATTCTGAAGAAGAAGATCCAAATTGGATGTATATGTAGAATTATTTATTATGTCAGCAGAAATGTTTTAATTTATTTTAATAGTACTTTAAATATAGATAAATATTAATTTATTTTAATAAATTTAATAAAATTTAATTTCTTTTGAGTATATACTATACTTAATATTTTAACTTATAATGTCAAAATCAATGTATTATAAATTTTATAATAACAGATTTAAATCTTCTCTTTTTTATTTCATTATTATTTATGAACCATTAAGTAAATATATTTTACTAAGCACAATCAGATGCATAATTTATAATGTTTTTAGTTATAATATTACAGTATTTTTAACTTTTTTTCAGAATTTAATAATAATAATATTGTACAAATAAATAATATTCAACTATAAAATTAAAAACTTATAAAAATTAATAAAATTGTAATTAAAAATTAATATGCAAAATCAGTTTGATAATTATATAATTAATAAATAGAAACTTTTCATTTAAATAAATAAATCAATACTATATATTATTACATATAATATTTTTTTGCAATATTAAATATTTAATTGTAAATTTTAATATAACAATTAAAAAATATTTGGTATTAAATTTTAATCAAAATTATTCTTTATATAATATTTTTTTTGGATGAATATTGGTATTTAAATAAATAAACTATATATACTATTTTGAAAATTTTCTAGATATTAAAAAAAATTCTGTTTTTATTAAAAATATCAATTATTACAAATTATATTTTTTATTATTATTATTATATTTAAAGAAAACAGTATATATCATTACAAAGGGAGATAAAATTATCTATTTAATCTAAATGAATGAAATAATATTTTACTATAAATATTTAAGAATTATGTGATTGGATAAACATTTAATAATTTACTGAATAAAATAAGGATAAATAATATATTAAATGAAATAAAGATAAACATTTAGCCAAAAAAAGAATATTTAACTGAAATAATTAAAGAATACAATAATTTATAGTTATATAATAGTTATTTATAGTTTAGATTAATTATATTTATAGTTTAGAAGAAATAATAGGATTCATAAAGATTTAAGTAATGAAAAAAAGGGAATTAGAAAAAAGAAATAGTAGAATATTTATAAGTCATTATTAGTTATCCCTTAAATGGTAAGACATTGCAGACAAATTTGCTTGCAATTTTACTGAAAATTCAGTTCTCATCTAATTTTATGAAAAATGAAGTTATTTTAATAAAATTTTTTTTTGCAAAGAGCTTAAATCTTAATTTATGTAACAAAAATTATTATTTGTTAATTTTATATTATAAAATTGAAGATTAACTATTGGTCAAAAGTTGTATTTTTTAGATGACAAAAATTTTGAAAAATTTTGCATTTAACTTTGACAATCTCATTAGAATTTGATTATGGCTATAACAAAGCTTAACGTTAATATAATTTCCAACCGCCTTATTTAACAAATCTTCCACTTCGGGATGGATACTACTTGCCTGTTCTATCGATAATGGATGCTTTCGTGTTGTAAGACGTCGCCATGTATCTATTTTAATGGAACGAGGAAGCTGGTTAAGTTGCTTTGAGTAATATATGTGAAAAGATGGTGTTAGTATACCAGTCATTATTACCATAGGTAACTAATAAAAATTTTGAGAATTTTATAGATTCAGAAATTTTATAAGAAAATTTTGAGAATTTCCCCGAAGATGCTTTGCTACGCGCCAATATCACGGATTGCGTCACATCAGATAGGGGATCTGCTATAGTAACCGATTGGCAAAAAATTCACGTGATTTTGGCAGGAGTGCCCCGGCTGAAATTTGTCAAGAATACATGATCACGCCTTTCATGATACAGATAATAAGTTTTTAACTATTTCATTCTGTGTTTGATTATCTTCCAATTTCGCAATTCTGGCCTTAAGCTCAGCATTCCTGGCTTCAATCTCAGCAAACTTCTTTCTAAGTTCGGCATTTTCGACTTCAAGCCTGGCAATGCATATTTTCAATGAATCGGTCTCATCTATTTCGGATTGCATGCTAGCGTAATGTAGTAGTATGTTAATATTCAAAAGTGCGTGAATTTTTTTCACGGAGTCACGTGTTTTCCGAGACCGCAAATTTGCCAAGAAAAGTTTTATTATCCGGTGCATATCCCGCACGAAAAAAAATACAGATGAATGTAAGATAATAATAGGCCACCAGGGCTTTATTGATATAGGAAAAAAATAGCCATTAAGGCGATGTGTAAAATACATAAGCTAGAGTTTCTTCTATGATAAATTTCGCTAAATTACATGATACGATGTTAATTATTATATGGTGGTGTGGAAACAGTTGGGCTTGAATGGACATTTCGAGGTGGATTTGAAATTGCTTGTTCCAATGCTCGTGCAAGTAAACTTTTATTCACAATTAGGATATTCTATTGCAATTACAGAATGTTAGCCGACTAATAATGAAACTAAAACAAAAATAGGAAATGTCATACATGCCCTTAAGGTTAATAATAATCGCACAAGAGATTTGACACGTTTTGGTGAATTAAAATCCAAAGGAATATCAGCATGATTAAGGTGAAAATACCTCGGAATTCCGCTCGCATCATTCATCAGAACATTCAAATATATGGTCGCACCAGCAACCTGAATACCGACAATTCCAAATTGGTTACTAGTTGGCCTACATGCAATATTTACAAAACTCGCACCATCTAAGGTTTCTCTCCACAGCTTCACTTCGTCATTTGCTTTTTTTGTAGTACTACATACAATACGTGAACATTCAACATATGTAAGCTCAATTATTTTATCCACATATTGGTCTAGTACCATAATGTCGGGTTTCTTCCCTATACGTTCTTTATCCGTCCCAGCATTTTTGCGAGCTTTACTTGCTAAGCTCTGCCATTCAGCCGTGCTTAAGCAAATATGTCCGTTTGGTAAATCCCCTAATGTGGCTCGAAGTAGTGGTACTATTACATCTGTGACGTAGGTACCTTCACTTTGCTTACTACGAGATTCGCTGGTTGTAAATGCTGGGTTATTCCAAATTTCCGCACTAAAATATAACTAATTAATGAATCTGCGACATAAAAACCATTACGAATTTATTAAGAAAATATGGAAGAACTTACAGTACACTAAGTATCCATTCCGTTCTTTTTTCCAAATCAGGACCAGTCTCTTTCCACGTTTTGTCATGTATGATGTTGTTAAAATTATTAGGAGTATACCCCCTGCGAAAATTATTTGTAAACTCCTCACACTTGGAAATAATTTCTTTAGGAAGCTCACATTTCATTCTCTCACGCGGTTCCTAAAGAAATAAATAATCCCTTATAAAAGTCAAAATTATATGAAGCACCTCCGGCTATGTATTTACTGAAATATACTTACCAAAAAATGACGCTTCTGTCTTGTTTTCAAGTTTTGCACTAATGGAGATTCATCACTAAGAACTGTGCTCGCCTCTGGATCACGCCATGTAAGATCAGATTCGATACTTTCTAAATTTTTTTTGATACTATCATAAAGAGATGCATCTGGCTCTGTTAATGGAGAACTAAGCTTCGATTTTAATGCCCTGATATTTTGATCTATTTCTTCTCGCGTATAATCTAGAGATGATTCTTGAGGGGTATTTAGCGCCTTTATCGCTTTTAAACCGACGATGTTTCTATATCCATTTTCCATCTACAGCAGATAGAATTCGCGCGAATAAATATATATGCCACTAAATATATGTCACTAAATACTGTATATGCCACTAAATTCTGCACATGTGCATGCAATCAGATACTAACAATCTCTATGAGCTTTATCATTTGGCTAAATTGACCACGCACAGCCAGGGTGGAGCAGAAATCCTCGACATATAGAGGAATAAATATTCCTGAACACATCGCTCTTCCGGACCGGCATTCCCCGACCTTCAGCAACGGCCAACCAAATACAGCTCATTTATCTGCTGTAATTTCATCATTATATGCTAACAAATAATTCATATAAAAGATTATTACAAACCTGCGGTAAAATTTCTAACACCTTAGTCTTTCGCTCAAGATCATCTATTTTCGTCAAAGATGAATTGACTGCCCGGTCGACTAACTCTCGTACTTTATTATATGGAAGTAAGACATTTTCCTCTATTGTTAAATAAACTACAGACGCCCCGCAAAGAGCGTCTAATGAATCATATACCAAAAGTTCTTCTATCTTAGCTACTAAATTTGCCATGGTAAAATTTTGTCAGTATTTCAGTGGAGAATATTCTTGACGATTCAGACTTTAAAAATTACTTACATTGCCCTTTTAAATGTCACCATTTCTCACATTCTCTTCATGTTGGAAAGATAGGAGAAATGTACGAGGCACTTTACGCCAAAATTTTGTGTTAGAGAGTAAGGGCATGTGGAATGTGCATTAAAGATCTCAACATTTACAAAGGCGTTGGGGAGTATGCATATACCTTCTTTTTTTATTTCACTTGCTCGAGTTTACGCTGTCCGCTCAGTAATAAAGGTCTAGTAACATTATATAAATATACTCGCGCTTGTCGCTGTCGAAATCTAGTAGAAATAGCCTCTAGTACCGGAGGAAATAAACTCATAAATAAATGCTATTCAGATAGATAGGAAAAAAATTCGAAATATTTTGGGGGATCGATTTCTTATGTGTGAAAATTAATTTGTCGCACAAGCAGTCACACAGAGCTACAAAGTACAAATGATTTGCCTATTACATCATATATACTTTAACGAGGATCGAAAAACGTGCTAATTTATGTCACACATGCCTACATGCATTGGCCTTAAGGCACTTAGACAATATTTTTATTTTGACGAAATTTATAGAACTGGGATATTGCGAACTTGTCTACCTATGCTTTATGTTTATACCACCAGTCACTAGTTAGCCGACTATGGGATTCTATGGATTTTATGTCATGTGGTCCCAACATGTCCTTTCTAACAAAATGCCTAGAATTGCGATTTTCTTCAGTATCAAGATAATATTTGGGATTCTGTGTCCATTTTATCATGATAGGCCATTCAAATGTACCATAAAGAAGTACATAACCTTCTTGTTGTAATAATTTTTTAACAAGTTCAAAGCTTAACCAATTTAATCGGCACGCTAATTGATTTTGTTTTTCTTCTGCCCAAGTTCTAGTAGAATAAAGGATATGACTATATTGACTGTAAAAATGATCAACTTTCCAGTTAAATTCTATTAGTTTTCCATTAATATAATAATAATACATATCACGAGGAATAATACCTAAATATTTTCATCTAACAGGAGTATCATCATTCCTCACCGCCTTCCAAACTCGTTTTGCCGAAGATTCGGGTCTCTTCTTGTAATTCCTATAAGCTCGTTGGATAACTGTTGCATAGAAATTTTAAACTGATAGTTATATTGTTTCGCAATCAAGAATCCCCAAGATCGCTTCATGATAAAATAGTTATATATTAGAAGATCTAACCTAGAATAGGCAGATCATGCATAGCATATTTTTATCCCGCATAAATTTATGCAGGTGATACATTTCACAATTATACTAGGTGATCATGTATGCAGAATTCATTTCGCAAAAAAATAAAGTATAAGTTATGTTTGGTCTTGACATAGTCGAGAGATATATAAAGCTAATGATCGGTTGAAAGATATTGCGAAGTGTCTTAAGCCAGTTAGACGACCGTGAGTACTCTCCCATCCCTCAATCTCAACATAGTGCCTTTTGGCTGTTTTGCATACTGAGACGAGATAAATAATTCGCCTGTATCACTTTTATAATTTGATGATTGATAAGAATTAGGTGAAACCATTTCTTGGTTACCAGAGGTAATAGAAATACAAGCTGGCTTGAAACTTGGAGCACTTGGCATAATATTTTCAGCTATAGTCATTTTATCCTGCTTATATGTTTCATAGCCAATTGTACGAGAATCAAAATCATATGATATCGATGCCAATTTATCCTTCTCTGAGTGTGAAAGAGATTGGGATGAAAGCTCTAGCTGAAGACGCTTCATTTCAGCCTCTTCTTGTAATATATACTGTTTATATTGCCAGATATTAAATTCCCTTCTATCAATAGATTGAAGAATTTCTTTTTTTCTTGCATGTTCGATTGGGTTAGCTTTGCTAACAATACATCTCTTCAAGTGGCCATCTCGATAGAGAAATTCGCCTATAAGCCTTTCAGGGATGAATACTAGGGAGTCACACACACTACAATATATATAATTTGTTAGATTTCCGCTAGGATGGAACCCTTTACCATCTTCATAAAACTTTGCATACATGCGAATATATCCATTCTTAGAAAATATTTCTGGGTTCTCTTCAAGTATTTTTCTAAATGGACCACGGATACGAGAGCACCACATTTCTGGTGTTTCATTATCATATTTATGTTGTAAAAGGTGTATTGCTTTTATTATCTTATTATATCTATCATCACGATCAGGATCAGGCGAACAAAGCTTATAGTAAGCATTACTATCTAAATCCATCTTTATAAATGTTTAAACGATAAAATAGTGTTTTATTGATTTATAGTGTTTTTAGCTGATTTAGCAATATTATACTCTAATAAATATCAGATTCAATTTTATAAGCGATTTTATCAATTTGTAGCCGATTTAGTGAGACTACATATTGCTAAACTCAAGTTCATTTTTATTCGATTGTAGGGATTTATATAGGGTCATATCCCTTCGGATTTTATATTTACATGCATATGCACAGCATCTTCGGCTAAATCAGTTTGTGGTATGATGTACTGTATATCGTATCACATGAGACCTCTCCTAGTTCTCGCAACTTCCCTGCAACTTCTCTGCAACTTGCCCGTAACTTCCTCGTAACTTAAATCACGAGATGTGTCACAGATCAAAGCTAAGCCACCGTTATTATTCGATTGATATTAATTGATATCATTATATTTTAAACAACGCTAATCTGGCCAGCTCATTGAATCATGACACATAAAAGCAAGCCCTTCTTGCTTACCCCGCTACCTCACCTCTTCAATAAAAGCTTTTCTTACTCGTAAAAATGTCTCTAGAGTGGAATGCTGAACAAACCCGTATCCTTATTGATGAACGTAAAATGGGTAATGAAGAGTATCACCAGACCCCCAAGCGTTGCAAAAAAATCTTTTGGGAGGAAATAGCAGAGAAGCTTAACGAAAACTATAATACGAATTACTTCACTGGAGAAGCTTGCAATAAGAAATTCTTATCATTAACTCGAGCATATTATGTAACTATCGTATTATGAATGGATTAATACTTGTCCGTTCCTGACTTTGAATTTCTTCTATACTTATTAGACGACTAAAGCCCGTTATGAAGGAACCAAGAATAAGAGGAGTCTTGTCAGAGAACAATATTACGAGGAATTCTCCACAGAGTTTTGGAAAGAACCTCTACGCACTAATGAAGGAACAGGTCCCCTTGGGAGTAAACCATCATCATCTAATTCACCGAGAAGATCACAACCACCATCGAAAATTCCAAGACCATTATCATCATCCGCAACTGTTTCAAGAACCGGAACTGCTTCAAAAAACCCTCGAGCAATTCCTTCTCCTAATAAATCGCGTCCAACAACACCCTCTATATCAAGACCACCTTCTTCTAGTTCTAGACCCGTCACGTCCTCATTTTCTCAAAGCGCTGAAACAATTAATATTTATATTAATTATAATAAGCCAGACGATCAAGAGTGATTTTTATAGATAGTAACAAAATTTATTTTACTTTGCTATTCTGTATTAAAGCGGGATTTTTTCATATCTGTAAATAGCTATAGTAGTTTAGTAAATTTTGTATTTTTTCATAACTGTAAGCGCGATGCAGTAGAATGCGAAAGCTGTAATTAATAAACATCAATATCACTTGTAAAACACGAAACATGTTTAAAAAACTCAAAGTACAATCTTTATTATATTTTTGCAAAGTAATACATGAGAAAGGGTCGGCCGACTAAGTAAAAAATGAAACTAATAAAAGATATTGGAGTAGATCACGTTTAAAGGGAGGAATCGCGTCCAACCTTTTGAAAATTTAGTATAAAACATTAATGGCAAAATTAACTTTAAATATTGCTAAAGAAATTGCACGTAGTAGAGGAGGTGAATGCATCTCTGAAAGTTATATCAATTGTCAGATGCCAATGTTTTGGAAATGTGCTAAGGATCATTTGTGGTCTGCAAGACTTAGTAGTGTAAAGAATGAAAATACATGGTGCCCACGGTGCGCAGTTGAAAATCGTCGTACTCGAACAATTGAAGATATGAAGAACTTAGAGCTCCGAATGGGTCAGGTCAGGTCAGGTTAATCGATAAACCTGACCTGAAATTTTTTTTCAGGTCAGGTCAGGTCAGGTTATATCAGGTTGTCTGTTTGACCTGACCTGACCTGAAACCTGAAAAATTTCAGGACTATTTTTATTAAGTATTGAAAAAAAACAGTACAAAACTTTTTTTTTTTTAATATAACATATGTCTCTTATACACATCTAGATGTGTATAAGAGACAGATTTTGTACTGTATATAAACTGAACGATATGTTTATATTATTATAAATTCATTAATTAAAATGTTAAATTGGTGTATTATCAAAAAATTGTAATATAAAATCAAATTATATGTACAACCATTTAGTAAATTGTATTTTTTCTTGCTTAACTGTTTTTAGTTTTTTAGAGAATAAATCATTGGAGCTTCTATTTGCCAATTTTGTTCAATGCGGTCGGCGCAGTAGAACGGACTTTTTTAATTTTTTCTTTCTATTTTTCCTTTAAACCTTTATTTAATTATTTTTTTTCGTTTCTTAAATTTTTTATAAATTCTAGTTTTTTTAAAATTGTATTTTTTTATAATATTTTCTTTCTTTCTTTCTTTTGACTTTTATTTATGATTATTTTTTTTTCGAACTCTTTTTTCAAACTAAATAAATTTTTCTTTTTTATTTTTTGGTTTTTTATTCAATACCGAAAATCTTTTTTAATTATTTTTTTTT